TCCCCGCCACCCTGCAGCCTCCGTCAGGTGATAAGGAGCTTTTATTATGGAAATGGAACTTCCTGTGATTGAATGTATCAAAGGTCGTATGAGCTCCGCCCATTTTGAGCTCTGCACTTTGAAGAAGCTGCAGGTTTCTGACTCCCTGTGAGTTCAGGTGTAACTGGGACTCCCATGTAGCTGGACTGGAGTTTGGCACAATCCATTTTCCAGCTTTAAAATCCTGTAAATGTCACGTCTCCACTGAGAAAGATTTTCACGCTGACGTTATAAACACTCTGCTGGGTCAGACGGAGCAGAGGGGTCTCAGGTGGCGGACACCAGCTGCTGCTAACCATCTACCACAGCTTCATAAACATCTTTTACTTCCACGAACTGTTGAACTACACAAAGAGCCACTGTGGGCTTTCAGGGGGGCACGCTGCTGAGGAGCAAACAGACGAAGTCGATTTATGAGATAAAACGAGGAGTTTGATGGGAAAATGAAAGCTAACGAGATCGTTTTATAAAAGAGCAGGTGCAAAAACATTTACGGTGCCAGAATAAAAAGCTGTTTGAGCTTCATTAAGTATTTAAATCCTGTTGGTACCAAACAACAGTTTGAGCCACAGGATGAGACAGCGAACATTAAAATGGCTGAAAGCGCCCGTTTACATCTGAGCAGGTGGAAACGCCCCGTTGGCCCCACGGGTCTGATAGCGGGCGGATTATTAAACCTCATCATGTCACATGTCAGACGTGGCGTCAGACAACCTTTTCCTATCAGATCAAACTCGGATCAGATGCCATCAGGGTGACATTTACACCACAAAAACGAGACGCGATCAAAGCGAGACACCGGGACGAAAGCGCGGGGTTCCCTCTTCATTCGCTGCTCAGACGTTTCATCAATCCTGCGTCGAGCTCGCCTTCGCTCTCCGAGACCTTTAATCCACCAGAGAAGAGGAAGACGGAGGTATGAAGGCTCTTACGTGTGTCGTTCTGCAACCAGCCGTCACCGCGGCTGATGGATAATCATTTATTTAACACCGAGACGCCCGAGACAATAACAACTCCAGAGGCTCCAGATGTTTCACTGCAGGAACCATCAGAGGATTTGGTGGAACATTAATGTAATCGCACTCAGAGTGGAACAAATCTGAGACGCTACACACCGAGTGGGCGATCCACACACACCCACACGTCCTCTGGGTCTAACTGTCCCTGCCTGCTGTATCACATCCTCACCGTTATTCTGATTCCCACCTGTGCAGACTCACAGTTTGTACCCTCGAGGCCTTTGTGTGGGAGTTTTACTGGTGACGTTCTGCTTGTTTTGTGGTATAAATCAAGCGTACCTGCTTTCTTTATAGCCGTGCTGTTTCACTGCTTCATAAAAACTCAAATTCGCTGAGTTCAGTTGATCTGGAGCCAAGATGAAAGCTCCGAGGCTCAGTTTCCCACATACGGATTAAATCCAGGACCACAAACTTTAAAGAAAGTTTTGTTTTATCCTGGGAGTCGATCTAGTCGTGTGTGGGAACCTGCTGAAGGTGAACCAGGAGGATCACTAACAGCTGTCTCCAGCTGCAGGTGGCTGCAGCTCTCTGTCGCCCTCTGCTGGTTACTGAGCCGCTCTGCTCAACAATTTGAATTGTTTCACATTAATGACTAAAATAATCCTGATAATCT